AGAAGACTCCCATGTATTTGCAGAACAGCCTGGGTCCTTAAGAAGCCTTAAGATATAATCCTTAAGGGTTATAACCATGGCACCAAAAGCAGTTTTCTCCAGTTAGAGGAGCTCTACCTACCCAAAGCACTGTGGGAAAAATCTAAATTTGTTTTCACTTAAGCAGCCAGTCAGAACTGGGATGGTGTTAGACATGTAGTCCAGCTGTTTGCCATTTACAATTTTTGCTGATGGTACAAAAGCCAGCCGTGCAGGGAACCCAAATGAAGCTGGGAGAGGGAGGGGAATTGGAGGCCCACTTAAAAACAAACAAAAATATTTAAAGTAAATGTTCATTACCCCTCACATAAAGCTAGCAGATTCAGACCAAAACCAAGGGAAACTGAGTTACTTAGAAAGTAGTACAATGCATTCAGGGTCAAAAGAACAGCACGTGGAATAGTAGAAAAATATAGTGTAACTGAACAATCCTTTGGAAACGTCCCACCTGAGATTACATTAATGCAGTAACTACACAGAGTTAAGCACAGCTCTTGAAAAGGCATAAAAGCAGCTAATCTCAACCTTAACCTGAAGTGATAGCAGAGGTTAATTTACACAGGCAGCAAAATGGGAGTGGGGGGAAGGAAGTGGTTAGAGGTTATTAATACAAATGATCAAAGCACACACCAGGTCAACACAAGCTACTGTTTTCACCTCAATAAATGAAATCTAACCCAACTATAATGTAACTCTTGGGAAAACGTCCATTGTAGTAGTATAAAAGAATAGCAATCATCTTGAGGACTAAGTACTGAACTCTTAAATTCTAATTATACTTGTTTATTGGATTCTCCTGAGTCCAGGCCCACCCGGCATGTGCCTGACTCAGTTGCTATCTGAAACAAAGGCAAAACCAGAATACCACACAAAATGAGAAAACATAAAAGCAGAGAACAGATTAACGCTAACATCTTCAAAGCATTGTGTGGAATGCTCAGTAAATGCAAAAGAACTCCATTATACATATTTCGGACAGGAGAAAGTATCTGTCCCTGTATCAGACTTCTCCCACTGAAGTTCCTGGTACTGTGCAATGCATTTCCAAGTCAAATTTTAAGACCTTTAATTTCTCCAGCCTCAAGTACGGTAGTGCAGTCCCTCTTTATATCCTTCCAGGATTCTGTTAGTATCACTTCCAGCACAGTCCTCTGGCTCTCCTATAGCAACATCCTCCCCTCAAAAGTTTGCTCCAACATACTGAATCAAATTCTCAGCTGGAGCTAGACCCAGTCCTCAAAGACTGCACCTGTATATCCTTCATCACACACCTCTAGGATGCTCATCAACCACACAGCATTTGTCAATAGTGGCTGTGCCTCAACACCTTCTATCACGCATATTCCTAAGGCCTTGGAAGCCTGCCAGGATAACCAGTTTCACCTCACTTTATTTAAGAAGGTAAATCCTTTAATGACATTTAATTTTCAAGTTATGAAATGTATTCTATTATAGGCATTTCATCACGGGGCAGCGCACAGCAGCGACTGTCCTCATAAGAATTACCAAGGACTCAAAGAGGCAGTAGAGGTTTTCTTCCACCAGTCTTGCAAGGCTTACCAAGGAAGATTCAAGGGAAACTAGTCCTTTCACTCTAGAGAGGTTAATCTTTTCAGAGATCAAGGCTTTTGAAATGACCTTCAACCACTCTACTGCTCTACTAGTACTTATCATTCGAAACGATACACTGGGTTTTGTTTCAACTAGCTGTTTCTTTATTTCTTGCCCTAAAAGACAAATATAGGAAGGCTATGGTAATTACATTAGTCCTACCACTTCCAGATGACCCATAAACAACATTTACAGTCACTGCAAGCAGTTGGGCAATCTGAAATCAACAAATTAGTGGGAATAAAGGAGAAGCAATATGATAATTATATTTTCCACATTATCATTGATTAACACTAGCGTAGGTGTTAACACAGGAGCCACTATAAGAGTCTTCGGTTCTCAGCAAAAGAAAGGTTCTTCATTTAAACCTCAAGTACCCAAGTAGCACAAGTATGTTCTATTAGAGCACTGTTGTGCTTTCTCCTATATCCCATCTCAATGTGACTGAAGCTATATGTATCTTACTTCCATACATATATGTGGTTTGTAAACCAACTTGGACTCTGCTAGATGAAAGACTCCATTTAAATGCAACTCTGCTACAATACAGTGAATCTCCACTAAACTAGTCTTTTAAGGCATCAGGCTGGATAAGCCTGGGATGGTAAATGCTTCTGACCTGTAGCATAGAAAGCGAAAGTGTAGCAAAGCACACTTGGGAAGGTAAAAGCTCCCTCTTTAAATGCTTACTGGGCTTATGACATAAGATATTGCATGTAGTCGGTTGGACAATAAATTATCTAATGCAAACTAATTAAACCAAAACAATGAAAAACTATTCTGAACTGAATTAAACTCTACCACAAGACACAAGAGAACCATCTGTGCTGCCAGAGAACCTCCAAAGAGGGATGGACAGGCGTCAGCAAGGTAGACCATGCTGTTTGTGAATCGGAGCCCTAGCTTAGGGGTAGAATTTAAGCTCCTGTTGATAGTACCAGAAACCCTGAAGTTATGCTAGCAAGAACAGTCAAACAGTTTCCTTAATTTGGGAAGCTTCTATTAATTTGGCTGGTATGACCAATTAGCATTGTCTCCACTGAGATGGACTGACGGCCTGAACTATGGCAAGTCCTCTGTACTGCAGACTAGACCAAAGTCTGAAGATGGGGCAGTCACTAGCATTTCTCTCATCAACGCAACAACTTTTAAGTAGAAGGTTAAACATGCACATAAACGCTTTCAGATACAAGGCAAACATGAAGCGTATACACAACCACCTCTTCTTGTAACCCAACACTCTTCCTCTGGCCAAGTATGTGAACCACAAGATAACATTCATTTACACTGGTATTTGCCTTGTAGCATTGGAACATAACAACACTGGAATATAAAAGCTTCACAAATATAACACACCTACAGAAAAAGTTTGTTACTGTACAAGTAGGTGAACAACACAAGTACCCAACAAAACTGAAAAATTAAATACTACTTTAGTGGCCAAAACACACATAACTGTTATGCTTATGGTAACTGAGTGGTTTGAGAAACAAGTATTTGCATCCTTTCTCCTCTCCCCAAGTTTATTTACTTTTCAGTTTCTCAGTCCTGTCCTGATGCTTGTGCTAATTGCTTAGGACCTCTTATAAACAGAAGCAGGGAAAAAGAAGACAAGCTCTAAAATAATGATCAAGAGGATTGGAAAAGCTGTTAACATGAGCTAATAGAAACCAATGTAATGTCTAAAATGAGCTTAAGCATGTTCTTAAAGAGAGTGGCTTTCAAATGGGCTGCATTCCATTAACACTGCTTGCTACTCGATGGTCTGTTGAGTGTTCATGACTTAAGATGTCCGCTACAGGTCTCTTACCTTTGGAGGCTTGAAAGGATATTCTGGTGTAAATGTGATGTCAAGGAAGAAAACACCTCCTTCATAGACTGAACCTGGAGGTCCTAGAATGGTTGATCTCCATTCATAGATGTTATCACCTTTGGGGCCAGCGCTAAGAGAAAAAAAAAACACCAAATGGTTTAGGAATATTGCCACAGTTCAAATAAATATGACCTCTTACATTCTTCAAGTCTGATACGGAAGAAAGTTTTCAGCGTTACACTTCATACACCACCTGAAGTAAAGACAGGGATTAAAAGTAGATTGAACGCTTCCAAAACCTCAGAGATCTTACCTGGACTTATCCAGTGTTCCAGACTGCTTAGCAAAGCTGAGAAACTAGAGGTGGGGTATGGTTTTCAGCTTCTCTCCCCTGGCATTTGTAAGAGCAGCATTGCTCAGAACTACTGCTAAACGCACTACACAATTTCAACACAACGGAGAAGTTAAGTTTCAAAGAACAATTTCCTACTGTATTTCAGAAATGGCTCTTTCAGCTCAGCCTTAATAAAACTGTTCTCAAAGACCATAATAAATAAAGGTCTTACGTCGATTTTATTAATCTTGTGTGTTCTTTAAAATTAAAATATAAAATATATTTCTGTATTATTGCTAAACCAAGGCTCATGGTATAATTAAAGGAAGCCAAATACATGATGATACTCTTAAATGTCAAAATTTTCTACACTTTTATCATTTTGCTACACTGATTTCTAAAACTCATCCCATTGATATTGTTTGTATTGTGGAACTGCTTTTGTAAGGGGAATTAAAATCACTGTGTCAAATTAAAACAGTGCTTTCCCAAATCAGCTTTGTCTAATTCTAGATTCTCCCTAACTTGCCAGCAGCTCACCAAGAGCAGTACAAACTAAAGGTGTTGCAGAACACAAACGTCTGCTTGCTGAAAATTAGTTTTACTGAGATCCTCAGACACTTGTATTCTGCAGTGTGCCATATGTCACTGAGTAGTTCTAAGTACGGCTCAACCTATAAAGCCATTAATGGTTTAGAACTCCATTGCTACCTCTTTCTTTCTGTGCTGCTACAGTAGTATTTTATCTGTAAGATGCCAGAGCTGAAAATTCCCTTTGCATAAAGGGAGGTGCTGACACAGCTTTTTCCATCATGGATGTGCTATGACTTTGGAAATCTTTTCTCCCCTTGTTCTGTAAAGGGCTGGATTTTAACACCCCTAATACAATGAAAACCAGCCTTGCTCTTCTTTCCCCATTCTTTTAACAAGGCAAATATAAGACAGAAGGATTAAAAAAGGCTCTTCTCATATTATAACAATCATGGAGCAGTCTTACTTGAGAGGGAAGGCAATCCAATAAATTCAATATATATATATGACAATGTGCATTTGATTAATGTAAAGGGAACCAGAGTAATTGCTAGGTGTTAGTAACAGTGTTACAAATAGAAATACAATTACAAAAACATAAATTCTCAATGTAACAACAGTGATCAGAGACATGCTTTTTTCCCCTGCTCTTTGCAGTACTGGCAAACGTGCTCTTGACAGCAGGGGAATCAGGGGAGAGAAAGGGAGTTAATTCTGTTATCAAACCTAAAATTTTATTTTCAGATTAAACTAAGAATAAAAGTTCACAATATGTTGGTGCTAAATAGTTCAACAACAGCGAAGCTATGACTAAAAGCATGCTTCCAGGGGAAGGAAAGCATGTAAGAAAGCAGTAAAGGGAGACAGGTTGTCT